TTTACCTGCAGGCTTATTCAGCAACTCCCATTAATTATTTGGCAACTTTGAAACTTATATATAAGGTATGTAGCTGTAAAAGTGAGGGGTTGAACTTCAGGCTCATCTTCTTATCCTTGCAGTCAAAATCTGCCATTCTAAGCATCTGAAACAGCAAATCAGCTTCAAATTCCTCACAGCCTGTTAAGTTTGAACTGTCAGCTCAGGAGTTACATTTTAACTCAGAGTAAGCCTGGTTGCTGAGGACGCTGTGAGTTACAGAGAGCGGCTGCCCTTGGTAGTGCTGGTGGTTGCACTGTGACAGCCGAGGTCGTCCCGTTTCAGTTTGACTAACAGCTCCAGCAGCAGCCCAACGGTCTCTGGTTTTGGTGGTCTGGCCGAGAGTACGTGAACCTGTTTTGAGGTTACCGTCTTACATAGCTTCTTACATCCATTCATTTAATGGTTTTGGCTTTACTAAGCCGCGCCTCATCAGCTACTTGAAGACTCAACTGAACCAGAAGCACACAAGATGTGGGGCCTGGGCCCATTTGTTGTTTTTTTTTCTTCTATGCTATGCCTTTTGAGGTTTTGTGAATTAGGGGAGGGGTCAGGACTGACTGCAGACAAACTGTGCTTTTACTGAGCGCATATGAACTGTCTAACAAGAATGAATGTTCTAATGCACGTAGTTTGCCTCTGATCATTCAGAAATAAGGCTGTGAAGCCTGATGGGCAAGTGTGATTCTCGAGAACATCCAAAAGATACTCACATCATGTAGGTTTGTTTTAGAAGCTTTAGTTGCACAGCCATTTTGTTCTGTTTTCTGATTTTCTCTGCAGTCAATCAATATCTCATAATGACTTTTCAACAAAAAAAACAAGGAAAAAATGGGTCTTACGACTTGCTAAGACTGAGTGCAGACAAAGTTTGCTATGGACTGACTAAAATGAACTGGAAAACAGAACAAAATGGCTGTGCAACCAAATTTTCCAAAAGTGGAGGGCACAATACACTCTGACTCAACAGATACAACAGTTCTAATGCTGATAGTTTGCTTTCGAACATTTAGAACTTCTTAGTTAGTCTAAGATGTTGGATCAAACAGAAATGTTTACAGGAGCTGTACAAAAGATTAGTCCATTCAGAGTTCTGTTTATATGCACGCCAGCATAGGCTTTATAAGGTAAACCACCCCTTCATTATGCACCTAATTTATCCATGTATGAGTTTCCCACTGTTTAAAAATACCCATGCTCCTGTTTTTATGTTCAGTTTAAATTTCTAATGGTAAACATGATGGTAAACATGAGGGATGTCTCTTCCTATTTACAAAAGTGTGAACTGTGTTTGTTTTTGTGTCAAAAAAGCTGTCATCCCATGGGAGGTACTGCAGGAAAAGCTGCAAAACCAAAAAGCAAAAAAGTCACCAAAGCTCTGTGTGAAAGTCAATTTAGTTATCAAAGTGTTTATATTTCTAAATCGCGACTTATCCTAATAATATCCGCCTGCGCTTCATGTTTTAAAAGCACTGAACTTGCTGTTTTCACGATTGTGTAGTTAGCTAATTAGACTAATACCAATGATTTGCATTTAAACATAGTTATTGCAACATAAACTAATTCTCTAAATAGGGAAAACAGGATTCTAACTGCAGACAAAGTCTGCTGTATACTAATAAAAAAAGGAAAAAAAAAGTGTGAAACTGTCAAAGTGACTGTTCAAATACTAAAAGTAGAAGCTAAACTCCGAGAATTATGACACAAAACTATCTAGCATGTAGTCTCTTACTGCAGGCCCCCTAGTGGCTGTTCTTCCATCATAATGGAAGTTGACTATTCATTTATCTTCCAAGCTTATTCTTCTGGGTTGCAGAGGAACCTATCCCAGTACTCATAGGGCAGAGAGTGGGAAACACCCTGAACAGGTTGCCAGTCCATCGCAGGGCAGACACACAGACATATACATTCACACACACATTAACACCGAGGGGCGATTTAGCATCTGGAAGTTGACTAGGATGTTTTTTATTATTATAAATCCATGAAAGATTTTTCCCCTTAACTCTTATCAGATTATCCAAGACAGTGTCAGCTCTCTGTGTGTGAATCGACTCTGTGTTGAGCTGCTAGAGAGCAATGAGAAAACAATTGAAACCTCACCACAAAAACAGCCATGCTGAGATAAAATGGGCAGCACAACTGCAGCTTATTTGATATTAAAATATATGTGAAATATGTGTACAACATACACAAATGTAGTTTTTTTCAGGACATATTGAATTGAGTAACCTTTATGAGTGAGCACACTTGCCCAGAGTGGTGGGCAGCCCTATCCACAGTGCCCAGGGAGCAGTTGGGGGTTAGGTGCCTTGCTCAAGGGCATTTCAGTCACATACAGCTCAGGGGATCGACCCAGCGACCTTCCGGTCACAAGTCTGGTTCCCTAACCTCCAGCCCATCACTGCCCCCATATGCTAAATTCATAGATGAACCAACAAAACAGGTAGAAATTGCAATTTATGGCGACTTTGAAAAAGAGTCAATGGTATATTACAACTTATGCTATTTATAGAGAGAGTTTAAACACTAGTAACTTTCAAATGCCCAGAAATAAGACTGACAAGCCCAATAAACTGGTTTGAATGTTCAAAAGACAATCACACATGGGTAGAGTTGGGATTTGTTGGTGTTTGTTGGAAAACACAGGCTTTCAGAAATCTAATCTAATTAAACTCTTCAGGGAAAACAGGGTCCTCTCACGCACCCCTTTGGAGAGAAGAGTTCAAGCGGTCATTTCTTTCTTTCCACTTGATATTGTTTGTGTCCATTCGCTGGGAGTGCTAGAGGCTGTGTGAGTGTGTGTGTGTGTTTCTCCAGCAACAAACAGCAAATCCCATCATCCCCAAGCTGGGGCCCCAGGGGCTCGAGGCTTGGGAACAGGACGGCCGCTGCTGCACCCCCGTGCCCCCGCGTCCCGTCCGGGAGGTGACGAAGGAGAGCCTGTGCCCGAAACGTAGCCCCCCCCACGCACGCACACTCTCGCATACACACACACACATGCAAACATGGCATGTGTCACAGTCCCTACCATACATCAATGTGAAAAGCAAGGGAGGCTGATGTCAAACGGAGGCAAACGCACTGGGAGGAATGTTCCAGTTTTAAATAAACGACAGCAGAAAAAAAAAATCATGGCCTAAAAAATGCTGGGCATGTGGCCACCCCCACCCCCCACCCCCCCATGCACACATACACTCAATGTGGCAGATAGAGCGTTGTTCTCTGGGGGGACGGCACGGACATTGACCCCAAAGCGATGCCTTTTCCAGATGCCTTCTTGTCTCCTACTCAAGAGTCGTGTGTGTGTGTGTGTGTGTGTGTGTGTGTGTGTGTGAGCGTGTGTACGTGCACCCGTTTCATACGCCCACACAAAGGCCTCTGTTCGCTATGAACAATCTACTACTCTATGCTTTATAACGACAAGAATGACCTCATAGCGAACATGGACTTCAACTATGTAGCGGTTCAAAGGACGCTGAAGGGCTAGTTTATTGCACATTAACCACTTAAAGCATGTTATATGGCCCAAAGGGGGTAATAAGGAGGCCAAAAGTAAGGAAAGAATAATAAGATAAGGGTAACATGACCAGTCAGTGACACTGAATCATTCAGTTGTCAATGACGAAGAAATGGTTTGTGAAAATTTGTCCCATTTTAAACCCAGATGTCATTGATTAGCCAGTGCATGTTAAGTGTCTGCTTCTTTAGTTTTGCACTGGATTTAATGGACTGTTCTGCCCCAAAACTGGACTGGATGTCATTTGTCATGTTATGTAGTGTTCTGAAGCAGGGCCTTGCATACTTTAGCCTCATTGGTTTGACAGAATTCACAATGTTCTCTCACTACAATACCCATCATGCATCACGCACATCATACAAACATTATCCCTCAATGGCAATACGTAAATCCTGACCACTAGCCTAGCCACTGATCTATGGGCTAATAAATACAACAAAGCGATCATTAGTGTAAATCTAACCTCAGCTGATTAACATCATAGTTTTTTCTTTATCAAAGATATAATTCAACTTTAGAAACCAAACCGAGGTAAGATATCTAGACAGCCTTGCTATCTTGCGTCTAGTGTTAACTTCATCTTGCTGTCCTCTTCATCTGATGAGTCATTTCTGTCATCTGAGTAATCCAGCCTCTCCACTCTGGCCAGTTACTACAGTTAAACGGCTGCAATTAGATAATTGGCTTCCTAACAGTAACGTTAGCTATCTGGCTTCCTTCTGCGCCCACCTCCCCCCCTAAAAATCCACCACAAAGCAGTTGTAGTTCTCAAATCCTTCAAGACACATCATCAGAAGGGGGTTTTCCTCGATGTTAAACCACAAAATCTCACTCTAGAGACTGTACACTGATGTAGGATGCGAGTAAGCATGTTTAGCACAGAAGTAATGGAGGCTTGTACCTAATTAGCATCATGCAAACTTCATTTCTAAGTAACTGTCTTGAAATAGGTCGGGTTGTTAAGTAATCTCAAAAAGACATGTTTAATTGTTTTTTGACATCTTTTAAAATGATATGTTTTAAAATGGTCAAAAGTACCTCATGTGTCTAAAAACAGCCATCATGAAGCATGAGGTGTGTCCATACTTTTGTCCATTTTAATAGATAACAGTCTGTCATACAGTGTCAGTAAGTCTGTTTGAGGTTATTTAACAAACTGACATGGTTTGAGGTGGTTTATGTGCACAGTTTAAACAATGCTAATTGTGGTCATAAGCTTCAATTGCTTTTTAGCAACGTAAGCATTTTAGCTCTAGTTCACAACTAAAGAAGCAAACTTCAGAGTCCAGACATGTCTGGGCTCAAACACATTTGGGGTAAAGTTGTGTTCATTTGATTTTTCACCAACTATCACTTAGAACACTTGTTGTTTCTTTTCCCCAAGTCATCCAGCCATCCATCCATCCATCCATTCCCTTGCTCCTCAGGATCTTACCATTAGGGCCGAGCTCTGGGCCGTTGGGCACCTCCTGCAGGGTGATGTCATGGGCGTACGCGGGTCTGGCAGGGGGTGCATGCTGGAGGTGGCCCATCCCGGGGAGATGAGTCGGCGTTACCATGGAAACCGCCACCCCGCCAGCCTGTCTCCGCAAGAGCACAGAAAGACAAACATACGGTAAATATCACGCACCCACCGTCATCGATAATGACACGGCCAAGCTTCTACATTTACTGAACCAGGCCTTCTGGATTTGACTGCTGAATAGTTGTCAACATTCAGATCCATTTTAATGAAGCCTACTAGCTGGTGAACCATTAAGAAAGTAAAGATCTGAATGAGTCATTGTGTCTGAGGCGTTCTGTCGCTATGGGACTTTCATTCACAACCATGTAGCGCCAGCAAACAGTAAAAGCTCTTTTAGTTTTTTTTTTTTTGCTTATGAATTCCCCTGTGCGGCCTGAAGGAGCTTGAATTTCTGTTGAACTTGTGCGTTTGAGCAGCATTTTTATCCCTTTGATCTCAATGGGGTACTGACGTCAGGGCCAGAAGAAGGGGAAGTCACAGAGAGAGACAGAGCAAGAGAGAGAGAGAGAAAAGAGGTGCAGATCTCTGCTGACTCCACTGGTTTTATGTATATATATATATATATATATATATATATATATATATACACATATATGTAAATTCGCCACAGATAGAGAAGATTGGTAGAAGCCAGAAAATAGGAGATCAGAGCACTGTTCTCTGGGAAAGTCCCACCATCTAAAACTGTATCAAGCAGTGTATCTGCTGGATAAAAAGTCTATTCAAACAGCCAAATCAGCTTCCTTTGCCCTGAGCACATGCCATAGTACAGAATTGTGTGCACAACGCAAACAAGTATTGTTCTTGCTCTGTTGACGTTCTTGGTTAATTTTTGTAGAAGAATGCTAAAAAACACAGACACAATGCGAAGCTGCCCTTGCTTTGTAAGGTGAATGGCAGTTTGGCAACTTTTATGAAATATGTTCACTGTTTCTTATTCAGAAACCTGACATGCTTTGACGACAGCCGGTTTCTGTTTTGAGTGGATTTGGCTTCCTGTGAATAATTTTGTAACATACAGATGTACTGATTTGAGAACTTAAAACATGTTGTCACATGAATACGGCAGTATTAGCTCTTACTGAGTGTTAGTATTGTGGGCTTAGGATTATAAGGTTCTATTTGTGTTCGGTGCAGTTTAGATACATTGAGGATCAAAGATTTTACTTTCCAAATAGCAAAACTCTGATGTATCACAGTTAGCGTTGATATCTTGGCAAAGTCACTGTCTTAAGATGCTTTTGTCCACCAAATATAAAAATCCTAGGATATTTGGAAAATAGCTGGAATGGACCAAGAAATCTAAACAAATCTGTCTTTATAGCCAGGCTAAGTCCTTGAACAGCTTATTACTGAGCTTGGATATGGGGTAAAACATGACTTTTGGTTGGGTTTCCAACATTTTTCAGCCATAATGATTGGCTGATATAGCCAGACTCTTACAACGGCCACTTTGTTTGCTAGTTTCAAGAGTAATGTCTCCATGTACATGACACAATTTCAACACAAATATCAGAATCGTATACGTATAAGCTAATAATTTATTGAATGTATATGACAATGTGTTCTAGAAGCACCTATTTTGTAATTCCAATCAATGGCCACTTTCTGAAGTCCACCTACCAAATAGGTGGACAATTACAGACTGTAATCATTCAATTTGTCAGCCACCCTCTAGTTCATTCATCAGTGGTCAGTTTCTGCTGTTGATCTGTAAGGAGGACCATTCTCAGTGTAGCAAAGTGGTCAACCATCCAAAAATATCCAGCCAAAAGTGATTCTGTGCTCATAAACTAACCATTAATGAAGGTTTAGAAGATGACTAAGACTGTATGGGCTTTAGTCTGTAACTGTACACTGGCTAGGCCGAACCTACCGGGTTTCTGATAAAGTGGCCTGTTACTACATATTGAGAACATTTGGCAATATTTTAATATGGAAGCATGCATAGTGTCTGTGTTTCCAGCTGTACGAGGCCTGGATACTTCGTGCCTTATGCTTGCTGAGAGTTGTCTGATAGCAGTAGCCGCAGCTGCTGCACATTACAGCACCCCTGCCGGTGTGTCTCCATAACATCTCTGCAGATCTAAATCCGACTACTCTGCATGACCTCTGTCTACAGCCTGTCCCTGTCCAATAGGAAAGCCCTCTGAGGAGCACAGTGGGCTCTGCTGAAACAAACTAAGGTGGAGGAGAGAGAAAGAAAAACTTCCAGTGCCCTTTTTATTCCATTTTGTGTCAATCATACCTTCCCAAGCCATGTAAAAGTGTCAGCTCTTGGCGCTAGTCATCGCGGGGACAGAAAGCCTGGTATCTGAGCCAGCGTCTGACTCCAGGTCTACACGGAGAGACGAGGGAGGCGCAGGCTGCCTGAACGAGCGCCCATCTGATAAGACCTGCTGCTGAAGCAGAGCCTCCGTTATCAGCCTAAGCCCTGTCAGTAGCTTTATGAAGCCGTGCTAGTGGCCGTATCGACGGCGCTGGCAGGGGGGCTGGAGGAAACCGTCTGAGACTGAACCCATGCGGAGAGGTGATGGATGGATGGTGAGGGCTTAGTGGGGGCACTGAGAAACCCAAAGGGAGGTAAAGTCGACTGGAGGATTTATGGGGTACAGGAACGTTTCCTCGTGCCAGAAAGGGCATCATTCTCTCCGTCTCATTTGATAAAGCATGGAGACAGGATGCTGAGAAGTGAGCAGTAAAATTAGTAGCACTGATCAAGTGATAATTGAAAAGGAGGCAATGTACTCAACAAAGTCAGCAGTCTGACATTCTTGTAAACCCACTGGCTTCCCACTTTAGTTCCTCAATGCGAATGATAGAACTTACACATTTCTAAGAAAAGACCACATGGCATAAAGCTTCCTTCAAGAGAAATAAGCTGCTTTTAGAAACCAGAATATTCCAGTCAGAGGGGAACCCTCAGGGATTTCTGGGTCTCGAGAGAAGGCCTAATGATTTCTGTGAACTTAAAAAAAAATACATGTCTATAACTTTCAGTTCTTTTTTAATTCACACTTATCCATAGCGCTCCTATTGGTTAGAACTTCAAGAGCTGAAAAGAATACCCTACACATTAGATTAACCATCAGCAATTACGAAGTGACTGAAGAATCAACCAATCATGTTTTGATTTTTAGTGGGCGGGACCAATTTAGAAAAAAAAAAAAAACATCACTCTAGGCTTTCTGGAAGTCATAACTAACAGTAGTAGACATGGAAGTAAGCGGCAGCAGTTCTAAGCCAGGTCTCTCCACTGAGAGAGTCACTGTGACACTGTTAAATGGTAAAATATAGTCTAATATATCCATCACGAGTAAAACATAGAATATCTTTGTTGCAGATGCCTGTGTTTTATCTGAAACTACCAAAAAATGGTCATGCAACTTGACATTAGCTCAATGCTAACAAATTACTACAATCCCACAGGGACGCTAGCAAAAGTTAGCATTATTGTAAATGTTTTTTTTTTCCTCACGTTTTGACAGAGTTTTGACTCTGTCCACTCTCTTTACCACTGGTTCCAATCAAGTCTTTTTGTCAAAGTTTGTGGCTAATTTAATGACAAAGCATTGCTAGCTTAACCAAAGTTGAAACACTGGCATTGCAGATGTGTGCAAGTGGCTGTTGAACAATTTTCCTCTCTAAAATAGCTCTAAACACCAGATGCTTCAAACACTTTTAATTTCTGAGACGGTAGCTGCCTCACTGCTGTGGCTAATGCCCATTTTCCAGCTCTACGCCAGTCATGTAGACAGAGTACAATGGGGTAAAATAGCCACAACAAAAGTGGGAATTGTCTGAAAATAGCCAGCACTTGGCTTGATTGGCTCCGTTACAATGGTTGCATTAACCTAATGGCCTTTAGGGGCTGGGGGTCAGGGCTCTGGCCACCAGTTGACCCGTGAGCATGACTGTGAATAGCATAATGGTAAAAACAACTGTCTTACATTGGAGATTTGTACTTTTGGATTATGCATAGATTTGCAAAGAGTGTTGTGTTATACTGCATGTAAAAATCACTTCTCTACATAGAACTAATCGACCTTACTGTAGTCAAAATAGACAAATGTCCAGTTTATTTTTAGCTTTGTTTGGTATTTTAATAGCAAATTTGGCCCTGTACCTTTTTACTGTAAGCCTAATAATTCACAACAAACTAAGAAAAGCTAGTATGGTTCTAATTCTGAGGACCTAGACTTGGCACATTTTGTATTTGTTGCAAAAAATTATGTTGTCGTGACAGATCTATTTCAGTAATACAAAAGTGTTAACATGCCATTACTGGTAACTGTTATGACAGATGTCATAATGTTTGATGTCATGACAGCAAATGCTGTATGTATTCTCTATTTAGCCACCATGACATCTCACATTATGACATCTGTCATGACAAGTGACAGGGAATAATAATATGTTGTTGTTAGGCTGGCTTTACACAGTGAAACCTTCATGCAACTTCAGAAACTGAATTGCAGTGTTTGAAACTAAATTGCGCTTGAGCTGCATAATGTAAAGCATGCTGCAACTCACTTCAAACTCAGCCGCAACAGTTGCAAGTGACTCAGCTTTTTTTTATGAAAGTTTCAAAATGGCAATAGCAAGTCATGTGATCACTTCAAACAACTTACTTTAAAACAACTAATTTAACCAAATCAATGACAAAGTAAATAAAAGAGAAGGTGGTTTATCGGGTAGTTCAAAGGAGACTCCCCCTGACTAACTCATGGTTAGTAATTTTTCATTTTGTCAGTCCCCTGAGCCAAAATGACAAATATGAGTTTCTTAAAGCGAGTGTTTCTATAACTAGCTGCATCACCTAGCCAGCTAATAACAAGAGCAGTTTAAACTGCTGTTTGTGCCAGCATTAGTCTTCACTACCTAGATTCATCTTCTAAAGAAGGAAATAGAATGAAAATTATAGCAGAAGGTGACTAAGATGCAAGCTGTCATGAACTTAGGGCAGGATGAGTGAGACATCGAGTAGACTACAACCGAAATGGCTAATATATAGTAATGGCAATTAATAGCAATTATAGCTGAAAAAAATACCCTAAGATTTAAAAATAAAATGTTGTAAATATGTAAATTACACCTTGTGTTGACTTTACATCAAGAGCAACACGGTGTATAAAAAATATGAGCTAATTTGGCCATTTAATTAAATGTGTTGCATGCAACTTTGCTTTTGTATTACTTTGTGAACTCTCAAGTTGCATGGAAATTACATGAACAATCACAACATGCAATTACTTGCATGCGAGTTTCACCATGTAAAGCCAGCCTTATATATTACTGAACAAAATATGTCATGACAACTCATAACAGCATATGGCATCCTAATGATATATTTATGGCATGGTTATGTTATTGTTAGCAGTAATGTAGCAGTGCTCAAATAAAGCCATGCCATCCTTTACTTGGCCTTGCAGTTGTTTTCACAGCTTAGTTGTTGCACTATAACAACTGTGTTGATGCCACTATTAATTTAGGCTGTTATTCTGATCTGCCTGTATGTAAATGGTCTTAGACCTCCTGGAAGTCTCTGATAGAAGTGCGGTGGGGGCCTGAAGACAGAGTTGGCCAATGGTATCTGAACGACTTCATACAGCCATGTTCAGATCAGACATCCCTGGTTTAAAACCCTGCTCAATAAATACACTTGAAGGGGAACAACTTCTAGGCAGTCTTGATGTTTGGTCTGTAGTGCTAATATCTCTGTTGGATGGCACAGCCAAACCTGCTGCCTCACTCGATCTCTGTTCTCCTGTCCCCCTCAGAGTGTCTCTTTTAACATGAGCACAGAGAGACAGAGAGACGAGAGATCAGACAGCACCCCCTTTTTTTTCTCTGATTCATGTAAATTCATGAAGGCACCCTCGCTGCAACCTCCGTCCGTGCCTGGAGACCCAGGAGCGCTCATCTCAATTTCAAAAGCCAGGGGAGGGCGCGGTCTGGGCGCACCAAACGGAGCGCCCTGTCCCCCACATTAGCATTAGCATTGTAGGATTAGCATGTGACCCGGACAGGTTCCGAGCCGAGTGCCTTCTCGAGTCGAGCCTGCGCATACTGATGGCCGAATGTCCGACCCGTGCCTTGATCAAACACCTTCCATTCAGCTCTCACCTGCACCCAAGCTTCCAATGTACCTTCTCTTCAAGACCCGCCTGAATAGTTGCTTTTCACCAAGCTTTTCAGGCCGTGTTTGCGTGCTCGCAAACTGCTTTAACCCCGCTAACCTCACAGAGGTGAGCGCGTCTTCTGTTTTTTTCTGCGCTCCTTTTCCTTTCCTGCTTCCGATCTTTTGATGAGACTTGAAGACTGCTCTCTTTTTTTCCAGCATTTGTTTTATTTGCAGGGCAGATTGCGTGTCGCCAGCGATTTCGCATTCATTTAGGGCCCCTGACACTCCGGCGACCTCCGTCTTTCCCTCTCTCTCACTCCCAAACTCTGTAGAAGATAAAGCTGTATCGCACAATACCACATGCGCAACAGCGGCCTGGATAAATATTCCGTTGTGTGAGTGACGGGGGACCTCGGAGCAGATGAATCGTTTGCATTCATACACTGTGTTTATGTTTGGATTCGGGAGTGGCTGAAGAAAGAGCGAGCGTGGGCTTACATGAGCGAAACGGACCTTGGTGGTCATGAATAAGACGGTTAGAAAGTGTTAGAAACTAAAGATGAATGTGGGTAATTGTTACAACAGTGCATGCAGAAGACTCATCTCTGTTATGCATGTAAATGTTCAAAATCAAATACGTTGCTTGTTAAAAGTTCTTTGAAAACTTGCCTTCTTTTGATGCCTTGTTTGTTTTTTTTTTTACTCTTACTTTTCCACTAAGTCCTTAAAATCCCTCGCTAATTACATAAAGAGGCTTATTATTTAGGAACTACAGGGATTTCAATGCAAACTGGATCAGCTATTCATAGGTTATAGAAGTGTATAATAAAACTTTGGGCCTGCCTGCAAAACAAAACCAAAAAAAAAAAAATTAAAATCTATTTGCTAATATTAATTTTCATTTCTTAATGTTCATCTTCATTTTTCTTGGTATAGCGAAAAGCCTCTGCCTAAACAATGATTTGATAGCTTTCAAATGTCTTTTAAAAGACATATTGAAAGCCTTTTGGCCCAAATGTGGCTCAAAACCTGAAAGGTTTGAGTGCTAACAACCCAAAATAGGGATGAAATGTGTGAGTTTCTCTAACATTCCCAAGGTACTGTCATAAATATTTGCATGTGTGATACTGTTTTCCTTAAAATAAACTTGCTTACTTTATATGCCCCTTGCAAAACATAGCCATTTGTATTAAAAACAGTTTGAAAAGCTAGCCCCGCCCCATCCCCTGTTTCCACTTCCTCTAGGTGTAGTTGATCAACTAAGACAGGTTTGCTGTACAAATTTCACAGCAAACATGTTTTAGGCTACAAACCTAATGTTGCTAACAAGCACTAGAAGTCAACAGTCACCTAAATCTTCTGTAAATATGTCTCCAAAACATCTCTCAAACCACATCAAGGTCTTTATTAAGGTTGCGCAGACTTGCGGATGTGGTTCAGGACACCGTATGACTGACTGCGAACTTTTAAAATGACTAAAACTTCATGTAGCTGTATACTGCAGGCAGCCATTTTAGACAAGAAGTTCTTTGCTGAATTCTGACTGGTTTTCAACATACAGGTCATGCAGGCATGTGGACACTAGAGATCATATTCATGATCACACTGTTGTTTCTTTTTATGTGACTGTCAATCTTGAACTGAATTGAAGATACATACACCAGTCAGGCATAACATTCTTGTTTCTACGCTCACTGTCCATTTTATCAGCTCCACTTACTATATAGGAGCACTTTGTAGTTCTACAGTTACAGACTGTAGTCCATCTGTTTCTCTGCATACTTTGTTAGCCCCCTTTTACCCTGTTCTTCAGCGGTCAGGACCCCCATGGACCCTCACAGAGCAGGTACTATTTGGGTGGTGGATCATTCTCAGCACTGCAGTAACACTGACGTGGTGGTGGTGTGTTAGTGTGTGTTGTGCTGGTCTGAGTGGATCAGACACAGCAGTGCTGCTGGAGTTGTTAAACACCTCAGTGTCTCTGCTGGACTGAGAATAGTCCACCAACCAAAAATATCCAGCCAACAGTGTCCTGTGGGCAGCGTCCTGTGACCACAGATGAAGGACTAGAGGATGACCAACACAAACTGTGCAGCAGCAGATGAGCTATTGTCTCTGACTCTACATCTACAAGGTGGACTGACAAGGTAGGAGTGTCTAACAGAGTGGACAGTGAGTGGACACAGTGTTTAAAAACTCCAGCAGCACTGCTGTGTCTGATCCACTTGTACACAGAAACAACATAATTTGTTTATCTGAAGTCCACATGTCCAGGTAACATGCGTGAACGTAATGGGGATTCTGTAGATTCAGCTACACTGTGATGTTTTCTTTAATGAACACCTGGATGTGACTGGAGTGAGTTGAGAGAAGTTTTCAGGATGTATTTATGGAAAACATTTGGTTGATTATTGACTTGTAGTGTTCATTCCCAATGTTAGCCTTGTAGCTCCAGTTTAGAATTAAACAAGCAAAATTTGGACAGAAAACATGTTTTGGCTGTGGTTAGTGTAGATTTTTTGCCAGTCCTATAGTGAGTGTATATGCCACCAATCATTCCAGTGTACAGACCAGTAGAACTTATATAGCCTTTCAGTTGAACTGTAATCTGACCACAAGTGTGTATCCATCTCAGATGATAAAACGAACTCAAAAAATGGGTGTTAACAAACTGCCAGATGTGTGCCTCCTGCTATGGGCAGCTTGGGCCTAAAAGTAATTTATGGTGTGTCTGTGAGCTTGTTTGTGGTGTTGTCTTACCATTGCACCCAGACGGTCAGTCGGGTGATGGGGCTGGTAAGACGAAACCTGATGCATGTAGTAGCTCATGGCAGGCTGTGGAACAGCACTGGAGGCCTGGAGGTGGAAGAGCAAACAATGAGAAAAACAGAAATGAATACCTTTAAAATATAAATGCTTGGCACAAACATGCTTCTAATAGGAGTTTTTCTAGGAAAGATTTCCTGAAAGACGAAAAGCTGAATAGCAGAATCTGAATGATCTTACAAGAAAAAGGTCATTAGCACCACAGAGAAGATAACAGATAATTATTTCCTTGGTTCAAGACAAAAAAGGCCTATATCCTACATTTTACTTGCATTTACCTTTTTTTTCTCTTTCTTTGTGATCCAGTTATGACATTTATGACATTTGTGTTAGTTCATGTACCAAAAACATTCATTGTACATGACCATTTTCCAGCCTCTTTTTATCTGTTTTTGTGATTATGCCCTTAAGATTGATATATGTCAATTATATTGAGGCACAATATGTATTGTGTTTCTTTCAAAAAGCAGTCCAAGCTGAAACACTCCTTATAACTTCAAATATTGATAAGTAGGGCTTTATGTATATATATATATATATATCACTGTGTAAATTTTAATGTAAATGGGCCAAAAGAAACGGCACAAAATGACCTGGAAAAAAGTCTGGTTCCATTAACTTACATTAAAAGTGATGTAGCTTTTTCCTCCTCTTGTAAAGTTATCATTTTGGAGATCTGATATACTATAGTTTTTTTTTGTTTGTTTCATGACCACCAAAGCAATGTATTGAAAACAGGGCGTTTTTGCAGCTTAGTTTCTCTGCAGAGGTTTTGTTGATGTTTTGAAGTGAAAATAAATATATATTATCTACAAAACCATCATATATATATATATATATATATATATATATATATATATATATATATATATATATATATATATATATATGTATATATAAAACATGTATCTTCCTTTTTTGCTAGTTTTATTTTCCTGCATCATTTGAGCTCAGCAGCTGTCTTTTACATTGTGTGAAAATGTCATGATGATGGGACCAATAGAAATGCTCCAATATTGCTTAGAATAACATCTTATTCCATTAACTTATATGGAAAGTAAAGAAGGTTTTCGCCCTCTCCTGTAAAGTTGCTATTTTGCATATACTTGATTTTCTTTGGACAGCAACAATATATAAATGTTAAAAACAATAAAAAATAAGTAGAACTTCTACACTAAATTATTAACAGATTTCAATTTTAAGTATTTTTATATTCCATGTGAAGGATGTGTTAACTTACTTTCACTTACAAAATCTGCAAAATATAATTTGACCAAGGCCATTGCAACTTTTGCATGTGACTGTAGGAACTGTATTGACTCATACTGACCCTACACAATAGAGACCAGATACATGGTTTCGTAACTGCATCAAGCCTGGAGTAAACATGTCTACAAACTGAAATATACAGAATTCTAACTTAATTCTAACTACAGTTCATACGGATGCAACACTCTTTAGAATAAGACAAAATAAGGTGCTTGGCTCTCTGCTTGGATGTACATCTCTAAGAATAGTATAAAATAGTATAGAACCATTACGTTTTACTGTGGCTCTTTAAAATGGTCCTTCACACCCATTTACAGAATGAAACCAACAGCTGAAGGTTCTTTAGGGATCCAAAGTGGTTCTTCTATGGCATCTTTCCAAAGAAGCCTTTTTGGCTTTTAAGAACATAATGGAAAAATGCTGTGTGACCCGCCGTAACGACAGTGTTCTTTGAAGTGGACATGGCAGCTTGTTGGAGGTGCCCCATCCCCATCAATCAGCCGCTGTTTATCTGAGACACGCGGTTAACCTGCATTAGTAATCGCCTGCCAGTCAAACGCAGGGCAGCTACAAGATGACCCAAAACTGGGAGAAGGAGCTGGGCAGGGCCTGATGGCTTGCTGATAAAGCAGTAACATAGAGGAATCTGTTGCAATGCATGCTTGCATAACTCACCAGGGCAGGGCACCACAGTGTATCAGATAAGCACATTGGGCAATGTTGCATCACCATACTTCTCAAATGCACACTTTTAGAGAGGAATTAAACCTGTGTGATCGAGACTAAATCAAATTCACACACATTTCCCTTTACGCATTCAGCCAAGATGTATTTTGTGTCTGAAATTTGCATCTGTAGTTTTGCAATGGCGCTATGACGCTAATCTAGCTCCGCTTATATCTCCATGCACTCCAGTAGGCTGGAAGGCATTTTAGGCAGTATTGAAAGTTTAACCCCTTAAAATCTTAGTCTTATTACATGCCAAGGCTTCTTATTCAGTAGCTACACAGACTTCAGTGCAAACTGGTTGAACTATTCTTAGGTTATAGAAGTGTATACTAAAACTGTGGGCCTGCTGGTAGGCCCTGGTCAGGTAAATATATAATTCACACTGAACAGAACAAGTTATAATATGCTATAATGTGGCAAAAGATGACAATACACACATGTAATAGACACAGCAACCATTCTTAAATGGTGCTGAACACTCTAAATACAAGTTCTCTTCACACTAAGATGAAAAGATGGGACTTCAGCTCTACATGAAGACGACTGAGGTTTTGACGATAAGAAAGACCACTAACTTTACTATTAGATGGAGAAGATGTGGAAACAGTGGACAGCTTTAGTTCAATTATTAACAACAGTCATCCAGCACTCAAGAAATATGACACAGATCGACGCTCCGAAGAACACGGATGAAGCAGGTTGAAAAGATCTTTAAATGCAACGATTTATCTCTACAAACAAAGATCAGAACTGTCCAGGCTATGAGTTTCTTTATGGATGTGAAAGCTGGACAATAAACAAGTGTGACAGGAAAAATATAGATGCCTCTGAACTTTGGTGTTGGAGAAGAATTTTAAGAGAATGTTGGACTGAAGCTCTTACTTTGGACATATTCTGAGAAGAACCAACTCATTGGAAAAGACCATCATGATAGGAAGAGTTGACGGTAAAAGAGGAAGAGGATGACTGGATACAAGACGGATGGATACAACCAGAGGAATCATGAACCAGCCACTGAGAAGCCTGAAGACTCAAACAGAAGACAGGATATTCTGGAGAACTACATTCCATTTGGTTGCCAGGAGTCAGAAATGACTTCACAGCACTTAAGGTTAATAATAATAATAACACTTTGATCCTTTTGGGAAATCGAGCCCAGATTGTATACTGACTGCGTCACATCCATATGCATATAAAACTTGGGACATTATTGTACTGTTACATTTTTAAGGTAAAAACAATACCAGGCCACTCTGAATTAGCTAACTTTGCAGACACTTTTACTCTAAACTTGCTTGTGTTTCAACAGCGTGGCCCTGAAGTGCCCAACAGTTAGTGAGAGAAACAACTTGGCTCACTGTAACATAAGTAATGTTAACCCCTTGACCCTGACGAGTCTGGTACCAGGCCCAAAAAGAAAGCTGCAAACGACTTACACGATGTACACATTCCCGTTAGCAACAGTGACATCATTTTATCAAGTTCAGCATTTAGAACTGGACCTTTCTTATGGCTACTGTGTTTTCTATCACTGTGTAAAAGATGGACTAGTCTTCCCTCCTTCAGCAGCATGTGATTAGTAGAGAAGAGCAGATTAAAGAGCAGATATGGCCATTTTTTGGCATCAGCCTTAAGCTACTGCCATCTCTTTATCACTGTTTACTAGTGGAGGCATTAGCAGAGGGGGCTGGGACCCAGCTGTGAGGGATTCTGTTTGCAGAAGGAGTTTGGGACGCGCACACACACACACATTGACAGGCAGATCGGCGGCTGAGGAATCACCTCAAACCGTGTGTGTGTGTGTGTGTGTGTGTGTGTGTGTGTTTGTGTGAGTAAGAGCACATCTTGAAGTGCTTAAGCAGTGCGGCTGTGTTACTCCCTGACAAGGTTTGAGGTGACTATTACGGCCGGGTCTTCTAGGGATCACCTCAGCGCTCAGTCATCCAAAGCTGTCAATAGTCAAAACAGATCTACACTCTTAGAAATAAAGGTGCCAAAAAAGGTAATTTGTCACGATTCCACACAAGAACCACTTTTGGTACCCTAAAGAATCTTTTTTACATGTTTATATGTAATGCACCAATTATTATATCCGTTTATGGTGATGTTTCATTATTGATATTAAAATAGGCTACAACCTGTTATAATGCAATAAAATACAATGAGGTCAAGTTAATATAGTCAATAACTGTTTTGTGTTCATTCAGGATGTTTAATGATATTGAATTGATAACAATAGTATGTATATAAGATGTTTTTCAAGGGTTCCTTAGTAAAGTCCATGGTTCTACATAGAACCATGAACACTCACAGTACACTTTGCATGCCTGAAAGATTCTTCGCATGGTGAAATGGTTCTTCAGATTGATGGAGAATGTGTTATTATATGGAGCCAAAATGGGTTCTATTGTTACAAACTTGATATCGTAACAATATCAGAAACCTTTTTAATGCCATGTAGAACCATTTTCAAAAAGGTTCCCCATAGAACAATGCAGCACATTTTCTATCAATCTGAAGAACCATTTCAACATGCAAATAACCATTTAAGCATGAAATGGTTCTTCAAGGGTTCTTTAGTAAAGACCGTGGTTCTGTGTAGAACCACAAACACTCAAAGTACCATTTACATGCTTAAATGAATCTTTGCATGATCGAATCGTTCTTCAGATCAATGGAGAATGTGCTGTATGGTTCTATGTAGAATCTTTTTGAAAGTGAAAAAAAAGCATTGATACAATCTTGACATCGTAAAAATAGCAGAACCCTTTTTGTTGCTATATAGAACCATGTACAACATGTTCTCCATCAATCTGAGGAACCACTTAAGCATGAAATGGTTCCACTCTCTTTAAAAACATGGTTCTTCAATGGTTCTTTAGTAAAGACCATGGTTCTACATAGAACCATGAACACTCAAAGTACCATTTGCATGCTAAAATGATTTGTTGCATGGTGAAATGGTTCTTCAGATTAATGGAGAATGTGTTACTATATAGAACCAAAATTGGTTCTATTGTTACAAACTTGATATCATAACAATATCAGAAAGCTTTTTGATGCTATATAGAACCATTTTCAAAAAGGTTCAATATAGAACCATACATCATATTCTCTATCAATCTGAGGAACCATTTAACCATGCAAAGAACCATTTAAGCAATGTTTTAAATAGAATTTTAGAAAAGATTTTTGAAAATTGTTCTATATAGCACCAAACATTTCTATATAGAACCATTTTCAAAAAAATGTTCCACATAGAACAATGCAGCACATTCTCCATCAATCTGAAGAACCATTTCAACATGCAAAGAACCATTTAAGCATGAAATGTTTCTTCAAGGGTTCTTTAGTAAACCATGGTTCTATGTAGAACCATGAACCCTAAAAGTACCATTTGCATGCTTAAATGAATCTTTGCATGGTCAAATGGTTCTTCAGATCAATGGAGAATGTGCTGTATGGTTCTATGTAGAATCTTTTTGAAAATTAAAAAAAAGCATTGATACAATCTTGACATCGTAACAATAGCAGAACCCTTTTTGTTGCTATATAGAACCATGTACAACATGTTCTCCATCAATCTGAAGAACGATTTCACCATGCAAAGAACCACTTAAGCATGAAATGGTTCCACACTCTTTAAAAAGATGGTTCTTCGAGGGTTCTTTAGTAAAGACCATAGTTCTATATAGAACCATGAACACTCAGAGTACCATTTGTATACTTAAATGGTTCTTTGCATGGTGAAATGTTCTTCAGATTGATATCAGAACCCTTTTTGGTGCTACATAGAATTGTATAGACATTCTCCATCGATCTGAAGAACGATTACACCATTCAAAGAACCATTTAGGCATGCAAATGGTACTTTTACGCGTTCTTGGTTCTATATAGAACCTTTGTCTTTACTAAAGAACCAGTGAAGAACCATCTTTTTAAGAGGGAGTATAAAATCCATGGTTGTTCGTAGAACCTTTGTGTGTAGGTTAAAACTTAACCATTCAAACAGAAAACTATGTACTTCTAAATTACTTCAAATAAAGAGAATCAAAAGGAGAGTATAATCTCTTAAAGATCAAAGCTCTCAGCTTTTGCTATCATTCACATATTGCATGACGTTACAGCCAGAAATCCGCAGCATAAAAGCGTTTGATTACAGGAAAAGTCATCAGAAAGAAGGAATCTCATCCAAATCCTGCACAAACTCCCCGATTCATCCCTGTCCAGGTCTCCAACTTCAAACGCAGCGCTATTGGCTCCTCTGTCTCCGTTAATCGCGCGTATCCAGCGGTTTTCTAACGTAGTGAAGCAGAAGGGAAAGTTGCAGTGCTTACCGAGAGTGCGGGAGTGCTGGAGCTCTCTGTACCTGAGGCTCGCGGGAGCTGCGCGTGTCCGGGATGGAGGATAAAGCAGGAGCAACAGTTCCCTCCCTCAGTACTTAACCGGAGTCCACTACCAAAAACATAAGAGCCCGTTTAGGCGCCGTTAGTTCTCCCAGCAGCGTCCTCCCTCTCTCTGGAAAACGTCACGCGCACACGGCCATACGGCTGATGAGGCAGGTTTATTTTCGCACCTGACCTGAAAACAGTTCTCTAAACTTTGTCTTTGTAGTTTGTGGTTTTGTTGGAATGAACGAACAGATGAGCAGCACTACAGACATAAACAAACAAACAAATATATACAAATAAATGAATAAATTTAAATGTTAACATGAACAGATGGGCAGATGGAAGAATTAATTAATAAATAAATAAAACTATATACACAGAGTGGATCGATGCATCGACTGGTGAATTGATGAATAAATTGTATAGATAAATAAAAGTATTATAAGATCAACAAATCAAAGCATGAATGAAAGGATGAATGGATGAATAAATTTAGTAATAAATTGAGAGATGAATAAATTAGTAAGAAATAATTACTAATAAATAATTACATAGATCAAAGCGTGGATAAATAAATATTTAGATGAAAATCAAACAATAAATAAATAAATAAATAAATGGACAGCTAGATTTATGAATAAATGGCAACTAACTACAGATGGATAGATAGACAGCTAAAAAATAAATAAATGAATAGATAGATTACTAAATCAATACTTATACATATACATACGATACATACTTATTTTGATTGATACACACACACGTATATACATATATACATATATATATATATATATATATGTATATATATATATATATATATATATATAGATAGATAGATAGATAGATAGATAGATAGATTAGTGGGTGGATGCACAAATAAAACAATGAATGTACAAATGGACAAATGAGTGAGCAAATGAGTGAGTGAATCCATAGAATGAATGCACAAACAAGTAGCCAAACAAACATTTAAGCAAACAAATAAACATTTTTATTAAAGTCGAGGCACATCTTTCTTCTGAGATATTGGGCTGGACTATAGACTGACTGTCCACAGGCGTGTCTGACTCAACGTTACCTGTAAAAGCTGAGTGAAAGAATGAATCAAACTATATTAGCTCATGTGTTTGCGATAATAAGCTTGTAAAGGAAGCTGCCTAAATGGGCTATTCCGAGTTATTGCGTTAGCGACAGCTGTCCGGAGCTTCCATTGAATCACTGTGGAAAAGCTTCAGGAAAATGACCATATAAAGAGGAAAAGGAAAAGAGGGGCTGAATGACGAGGGTCACAATCAGTGGATTTCCTGCAGGCAGGCGCGTCCAGTGGGTCAGCGCGCCGCTCTCGCGTGTGCAGCCGGAGCAGGTCAGGGTGTGGTGTGTTTGGACGCGCTGTCCGAGGTCACTGTCTCTGACAGTGGTGGGAGGAAGGCCCCAGATTCAGGGTCAGGAGAGTGTTTCTGAACGGGGACGAGTGGAGAGTGAGGCCATTTTTCTAACGGCAGTCCAAAGTGCAGCTGTGCTGTTCTGAACTAAGAGCCAGGCCGGGGATGTGTCATTCAGGAGCCTCTGTGTGGATGACAAAGATTACAGTATCAGAGAAAGTCTAAGGCGACCAAGTGTGGAATGAAAGGAGGTGTCAGATTCACTCAACAACTCTGCTCTTATCAGAATGTCTGATGCCACCTGGATGCCCTGAGGTCTAAATAATTCAAGCAAGTATATAAATGTGATTTTTGACTAGTCTAGGCGAGTCAAACCTGGAGGATCTTGAGGGGGGGGGCATTCCTGGGGGCCATAGCATCACAGATTTTTACGATAATATAATATCAGATTTTTATTACATCTTCTGTCCTCTTCAAGAGACTTATTTTCAGTTTTTTTAAAGAAGTTAAAAAGTTCAGTCTCAGAAGTTGGTTACATTTTCTGATGATCCAAGTAATCCTAAACCCATTTGTGATGTTGATGTCTGGACTCTGGGGTGGTCTGATCATTGATCTGAGAACGCCAGCAGCTTCTTTATTTGATTTGGAAATGTTTTTCGTTTTTTTGTATATGTCCTTTTCTCAGTAACAGCTTCTTGAGAGCTACACATCCTTTCAGACTGGTGTCTTCTCAAACAGAAACACTGGTGGGTTTTTTTCAGAGCAAGAGTAGAGATTGATTTTCTCTTTTTTCTCAAAGATAAAGCACTGTTTATCTGATAGCGACAGTTTTGGTGGTTTAACAGGTGGTTCTTAGGAGTTCCATCTTCTCCATATCTCTTAATCATGTTTTGGGCTCTGGTTTTGGAAACTCCCATTTTAGATTATCTTGTCTCTTCTGAAATAGCTCCAAAAAATTAAAAAAAGCAAACAAATAAAGGGAAGTCTTTGATATTTGTGCAGTACTGTATGCTCATGAATTCATGTTTTTTTTTTTTATTTATTCAACATTTTGACCCCGTTTAATGTGTCAGTTGTGGGCTGGCGGTTAGGGAACCAGCTTTGTGACTGGAAGGTTGCTGGTTCGATCCCCTGAGCCAACAGCACATGACTGAAGTGCCCCTGAGCAAGGCACCTAACCCCCAACTGCTCCCCGGTCACCGTGGATAGGGCTGCCCACTGCTCTGGGCAAGTGTGCTCACTGCCCCCTAGTGTGTGTGTTCACTAGTGTGCATGTGTGTGGGTGTTTCACTGCATGGATGGGTTAAATGCGGAGGTGTAATTCCCCCGTGTGCAAACGCAGTTGGCTGATGGTTCTGAATTCTAATTCTAGTATATTTGTTCCATTTCTATTGCTCTATCCTCGGGTTTCAGTCACGTGATTTTCTGTCCTGGCCGCCATACTTGGGACCGAATTTCTGACTTTGCTGCTCCACACGGACATAACTGGAGGTGAAAGATGGCTAAAATTACTCTCCTTACTTTGGAAGAGAAAAACGTTACCTTGATAAAGTCGATAAAACAGTCTGTGATCCTTACACAGTTTCCCCTGAACTCCTGATCCCACAAACTGGCAGAAAGATAACAAATTTTTGTTTTCCTGACATTTATATTTATCGCCCTGTAGAGTCTCTCAAAGCATTTACAAGCACAGAAGCCCACCGGCTCTTCACGTCAGGGTGGGGAAAGAATGGTTTTGCATAAAGAGGAGAAAACACTCTGTCATCATAGGAGGGTAACGACATCAGCTAATTAACACAGATGTGAACAACTTTACTAATGTTACCAGCCGAGAGATGAACAGTCGTCCCCCTAACGGAGCTGCAGACAGACGGTATAACTTTACTCTCTGTTTCTGGAGATTTAAATGAGGTTTGAATGGAGAAACATAAACGTTAAATATCAGACTGAATGTCATGGGTCGGAAAACTATGTTGTGTTTCGACAGACGTGATTCTGTAAGTTTTCTAGTGCAGTTCATTCAGAGTTCAGCTCCAGTCCTGAAACCCTGCATAACTGTGGTTTCCTGGTTAAAATACCTGATATTATTAGCCAATTAATCCCTTCTTGAGCTGAATGAGGTGTGAACAGCAGAGAGAAACACTGAATTGTACAGTGCAGCGGCTCCAAGCCTGGAGTGAAAACACTGAATTAAAGGTCTGTGTGTCTCTCGTCTCTCGGCTTCTGTCGTGTCTTGCAGGTGAATCCTTCACAAAGCCCTGCATAATGAAGGCGTCGCGCAGCACAGTCACTCCCTGATTCGGTCGCCAAAATGGCGGCGACTATACAATGTGACATCATGCAAAACACATTAATTTTTTTCTGAAATGTTCATTCGATGTAAAGAGTAGTTTTTCTATTCAGATGTGAGGAAATGTAAAGTATTCCAAACATTTGTTTATCTCTGCTTTGCATTTGTGTCTCTGGCTTCTCTCCACTCTACTGTCGTCTCCTCTGGCACTTGCCTCTCGTCCATAACACCTCAAGCCCCCCCACCACCACCACCTCCCCCGAACATTTGTTTGAATTACAAAGTGCACGGTCAAAGACTGGCCACGCGGCACCTTGGAAGTAAATCTGGAGGCGCTTTCAAGTCCAAGGTGAGAGGCGTGAAGAGATGCCATGTCGACCTGAGCTGTCCCGGTCAGGGATGGGGTGGGGGGATCTCTCTGAAGCCGAGGTAAAAAAGAGGGGCCCCCGGGGGCCCCAGATGGGCAACACATCGGGGGCAAAAGGGGAGGAAGATGACTTATTGCCATGTGAAGAGAGATGGAGAGAGAAAGGGGAGATGGGGGGAGCGCTGGGGCGCGGCCCACCGATGAGTCAAAATTGAATAACTGGAGGACGAATGTGATCCAGATCTTCCCAATGCTGTTCCAATTAGCAGGCCAGCTGCTTCAAAGGCGAGGGCCCGATACACTTCTGCTCCGCGTAATCCACATCTCATCACCTCCTCTTACGCCTTTCACCTTTCTTATCACAGTGCCACCTTTTATCTCTCTCTTTTTCTCTCTGTGTGTCTCAAATTCTGATTTCAAGAACGTTTTTGGCCTAGCATTATGCCCAGGTGAGGAACATAATAGTAAAAATAATGGCACCCATTCAATAAATATCACTTTCTGTTCTCTTTTGTTCATCTTACTTGTAATCCCTGTACACTCCCCCCTTCTTTTTTCTATCAGAACTTGACTGGCCAAAGTTTCTCTAGCTTTCAGCTTCAACCAACTCACCACTCACTAACAATGCACATTCATACACCAGAAAAATATGGAAAAATGTATAAAAATGTATAAAAATGTTCAAATATGCACATCAAAACACTTTTGTCATTTTTCTTACAGTTTACTTAATTCTGGCACTAATTATGTTGTGCTAAATCACTGTTTTATGCAAATGTATTATACATTATATACATTTAAACATATTTTATATTGCACTGCCACTTTGTTTATTTGTCCACAAATATTACACATTTGCACTGTCACTTTTTTATGCATCTCTAAATGTCATATTGCACAACTGTTAACATGGGTTATCGTTTACAGTACATAATCACTTGTTCATTCACTGGAGGGACAGGTACCACTGCATTGTCAACAGCATTGTATTTATGCAATCTATCTAAAACTAATGTAAACACT